ATCTAATGTTACAACTAATCAGGGATCCCTTTAAAGTTTCTGTCTGCTCATGTCGTCTTTGGTCCAGCTTTAATCTGTCTAATCACAGACTGGTAATCTGAGCTAATCCAGAACACCAGCTGGCCTCGTTCCAAACCTGTTTGAGTCCTGACCTCTGAGACCAGTATCAGGTCCACGCTGTGACTCAGAGACGTGTCCGGGCTCGTAGAGACTCCTGCTCCCACTGAACTCTGCAGGTTTTTACTAAAAACTAAAGTTAGATTTAAATTTAGACAGTTTAAACAAATTTAAACGTCCAAAATAAACATAAAAACAGCTAAAGATCGGCCGAAATCTGCTGTGGTAGTAGCTGAGAGTCCTCCACTAAACAGTCTGGTCCTAAAGCAGCTGTTTGTCCTGCTTCTGTCCCGTCCTGAGAGCGGCTCCTCCTCCTGTCTCCACAGGACAGCAGCTGTGGGTGTTGGCCCTGGGGGACAGTCCTGACCACCACACCGTCGGAGTCCCAGAGTTCAAATATGTGGCCAACATGCATGGAAACGAGGTGAGTCAACACACGTCCAACAGAGTCCCTGTTAACAGGAAGTGTCTCGAGCAGAGACTAAACACGTCCAACAGAGTCCCTGTTAACAGGAAGTGTCTCTGAGCAGAGACTAAACACGTCCAACAGAGTCCCCGTTAACAGGAAGTGTCTCTGAGCAGAGACTAAACACGTCCAACAGAGTCCCCGTTAACAGGAAGTGTCTCTGAGCAGACACTAAACACATCCAACAGAGTCCCTGTTAACAGGAAGTGTCTCCGAGCAGAGACTAAACACGTCCAACAAAGGCCTTTCAGAGCCCGACACGGTCCACGCACCCCTGTGTGTGCCGCCAACGGACGTCAGGTGACCGTATTGTTGTGGAACAAAACGCTGAGTCAGCAGTGGTGTGTAAACACAGCAGCCAGGATCCACAGGAAGCAGCTTTGTTGAAGCAGCTCTGACGGTTGATCCAGATAAAGAGTCAGAGGGACAGAAGACTTCAGCAGTCCTCCAGCTGCCGTCTCTTCTTTATCTGTCCTTTTCCTGTTCAACTGGTTTCATTCAACCGTTCTGTCAACGGTCCCATCTGAACCGGACCTGCTTGTTCTCCTGCTCTCAGAACCACAGGAGGCCCAGTCCAGTGTGGGGGCGCAGTTCATCAGTTCTGGGGTGGTCCAGGTGGAGCAGCTCGGACCAGACAGACTCACAGCAAGAAGGTCCTGGTTCAGACCTGGGCTCTTTCTGTGGGTCTTCTCCAGGTTCTCTGGTTCCCCCGTCACTACAAACATGTAGAACAGGTTGTCTTCAGAAAACCAGATCTGAGACCCTAACAGGACCTGCCTGGGACCCTAACAGGACCTGCCTGAGACCCTAACAGGACCTGCCTGGGACCCTAACAGGACCTGCCTGAGACCCTAACAGGACCTGCCTGGGACCCTAACAGGACCTGCCTACGACCCTAACAGGACCTGCCCGGGACCCTAAC